CACCATTTGGTGGCTCGGTTTTGGCCGAGCCACCAGACGGTGGTTCGCGTATTTCGGCAGCTCCGGACGCTGTTTGACTTTTTGTGGACGCTGTTTCGGACTTTGGTTTCCAGACTTGGCGTGGTTTTGGTGGTTTCTTAATCACCTCTTTTAGCTTCAGTTTCTGCGCGTCTCGCACGAGAATTCGTGCGTGCGCAATCAAGGCACGACGCTTCTGAATGCGCTCCTCGAGGGTTGAGCGGGTCCGTTTGACTTGGATCCACTCATTCGCTGTTGGTTTGGAGGAGAGGCCACTTATTTTCTCCTGGGGCACTTGGTGCCTTCTGCGTTTCAGATCCGTCTCATAGCCAATCCCGTCAATAGGCTCCAAAGCCTTAGCAAATCAGCGCGCAAGTCGTTGGCGCTGCCTTTGGCGTGCCCTCTTCGATAAAGTTGGCGCGGCTACAGTGGTTATCTCCTTGATTGAGGAGGAGTCTAGATCTGTAGATCCGGCTTCGTTGGAGGCTGAAGGGGAGTTGCAAGGTACAACTACCACAGCAACAGGGACTTTGATCTTCCTACGCTTGCGAGGGGCAGAGGATCTGGAGGAGGAGGATGACAGATACTCCTCGAACTTTAGTTGGTCGAATTCGTACTCGACCATTTCTTCAACCGGGATTTGGATCTGTGGTTGCGGCACGATAGCTTCGGCAGCGAAGCTATTGGCTCCCACTGTGGTCGCCAGTTTGTTTGTGTCAAAAGTTGCCTTTTCCATTGCTTTCAAACCTGTTACACCGTTTATCGATTACAAGTTCAAACTGAAAGAAAAGTTGATCTTTTTATAAGATCTTCTTACAATGAAAAATAAAGATTATAACTTTATCAAACAAAACGCAGCAGTAGTTTATCTCCCGCTGCTTTACGTGGGATCTTTGCCTGTGCCGGGGACGCGTTAGTCCATGGACCACTGCAGATCAAACCCGATCGACAGTATAATTATGCTCTTGTTTCACGAAGGAAACAATTGCGGAAGCGACAATCACGACCAAGCGAGATTGTGGCTCTTCTCGAGATTAAAACCAAGTTTAATCCAGAGGAAAGAAGGGAAAAGAATCACAAACCTTTCGAAGGGCTTTCTTTATGAAAGTGTTCGCCAAGATCTGGTGATTCTCCTCTGAAATTCGTGGTTAGCCGGACAATTTGACAGCACTTTGCCTTATCAATCTCAGATCCCAGCCCCTCTTGAAAGAAGACCATTAGCTTCTATTTATAGGCCTTTGGAGATATCCTTTTGAATAAGAATTGATGTTTAAACGTCCTCTGTAGTTTATAACTATTTAAACGCGTCCAGGGATAACCTCAAAACAGTTGGAGAGGTTCTGGGACGAAAGAATCCTTAAAAATCATCGAAATCCGTGTTTGGGGAGGTTTTGTACTCAATAAGAGTCCTGGTGGCTCGGGACTATGCGAGTCACCGTTTGGTGGCTCGGCCACCATTTGGTGGCTCGGCCACCTGTCGGCCACCATTTGGTGCGAGCCATCATTTGGTGGCTCGGCCACCTTTTGGTGGCTCGGCCACCATTTGGTGGCTCGGCTACCTGTCGGCCACCATTTGGTGGCTCGGCTACCTGTCGGCCACCATTTGCTGGCTAGGCTACCTGTCGGCCACCATTTGCTGGCTAGGCTACCTGTCGGCCACCATTTGCTGTTTTGGTGGCCGATGAGCGTGCGGGCCATGTCATCAATAGTTCATTGATTCGCTAGTCGGTGTCAGATAATCCTCTTTGACTTAGATAATAGCGTTCATCACCTTCTCTCCGTCTCGAGCTGTGTGGATACCTATAGGCATTTTTAGACGCATACAGTAACATTTACAACTAATGCATATCCTTAACAACTAATACTTAACTTTAACAACTAACAACTAACATTCACAACTTAATAGTAACCTTCACAACTAATATATGACCTTAACAGCTAATAACTAACACTGACAACTTAACTATAACCTTCACAACTTACACTTAACTTTAACAACTAATGAATATCCTTGACAACTAAAAACTAATCTTCACAACTTAATAGCAATCTTCACAATTAACACATATAGGGGTGCATTCGGTCCTGATACGGCTCGGATATGATACTTATCATATCCATATCTATTTACCCATCTCGGATACAGATGCGAATATGGATATATCTCGGTAAAAAAAGTTTATATATGTACACGCTAAACTTAGATATGGATACGGATATACATGTCTATATATAAGCAGATATGCTTGTAGATGCAAAATGGATATGAGAAAACTAGATACTATTGAAAAAAATATAGTTCATGTGATACAAAATAGTTTATTAATATGTTTATTATATCTAAACAACTAATATTAGACATCTTGATCATTAAAATTAACCTCAAATCCATAATCTAAGGATTAAAACTATCGTATTAGTATGACTACTAGGTATTCATATATTTCGGATACAAATCCAGATATTTTACTATAAAACTATATCTGTAATCATATCCTATCTGTTATAGATTTAAGTAACCATATCAATATCTTAACAGATATGGTTACAGATATTTTTTCGAACACATATATGGTTTAGCACCTCTAAACACATATCCTTCGGAATTAAAGAAGTATCTTGATAACAAACGACTATCCAAGACAACACGCAACGTCATAAACAACTAAATTATGTGATAAATCCACTTCTTTTTTGTTGACATATTGATGCCTTTCAAATCGCTCCTATTTATTTCTTTCTTTAGATCTAGGAGAGCTTTCACGGCGTGGTCCGTTCTGCCCTCAAGCTAACCCTTATCTTCATCCGTACAGTGAAAACTAGGCTTGTGGGAGGGGATGATTAACTGCGAGCTCCTCTAGAGCATCTACTATTGTTTCTCAAGCATCAGCTGACTCCGTGCACAAGTGTATTCTTGTGATTTCATACTATGAGTCGTCGTTGTCTTCGAAGTCTCCCACATTGGAGAGTACCTTGGGCTGTGACTCGCCTGCCATGCTTTGAAGTAATGGAAGTGTGAAGGAAGGCAAAATGAGAACAAGAGAGCTTAGATTTGGGGATGACAATTTCGCTCTTAGAGAGATAAGAGAGATGGAGACAGTTAACTAGGAGAGAGAAGTGAATGAATCAAAGGGTAGTTTCGGGATTTTTTTAATTAAAACGTTCAGTCAGGTGGGAACAAGATAAGGGTTTAAACAAATATAGCATTTGCTTTAACAGGTTTTTGGAGTTTTGAAAAAAAATTACGGATATATATATATATATATATATATATACTATGTATATATATATATATAATATAATATATATGATATATATATATATATGCAGATTAATGGCTATCCTTTGTCATAGGCAGGGATTTCCTCCTTGACGCTTTAAAATCACATGATTATCGCATATTATGGATGATTCCGCCGTCCGCTTGGAACGGTTGATCTATATATTCTAAAACCCAACACACCAAGTTTTTTGGGGTGAATCCACGTCGTCGTTTGACCCTTCACGAGCCATGTGAAAAAGTCTATTTCATTCAAACCAGTTTAAAATTGGGATACGCAGTGGATTGAAGTGTTCAAATCGATGACGCGCCGTTCACCCAACTTGGCGTTGTGTTGGGGTTTTAGAATGCTAGATCAAGTTTTTAACGGAACGGTATCATCCACAATTGTCGCCAATCATGTGATTTTAAAGGCATCAAGGAGGAAATCCTCCTCCTATACCAAGATACCCATTAATCTCTTCTCTCTCGTATATATATATACTATATATAATATATATATTATTATATATATATACTATGATATTATATATACTATATAATCATAATATAAATTTATATTTATTTGAGCTAGAAGTTTTTTTTTTGTATCCTTGTTAGTGCCACCAATTTGCTCTGGCAACAGTAACTATCAACACGCGTGACATGTCTGCAATAACGCTTTAGTGGACTCCATTATGCTGCCACGCACCAATCACGGCCCGGTTGGCGGGTTTACCTATTTCGGCTATTTGTCCATCCACACAAAACGTTTTAAAAGAGAAACTTAGCCTATAGAGGGGTACTCTATATAAACAAAAATGATACAGGCACACCTTATGCCACACCCTCAGCCATACTCCCCTCTCTCTGCTACAGTAACCGGGCCCACATGAGATTTATAAAAATAAATCTCATGTGGGCCCGGTTACTGTAGCAGAAAGAGGGGAGTGTGGCTGAGGGTGTGGCACAAGGTGTGCATGTAGTGCCACTCCTATAGAAAATCATATAAGTGTAAAGAAGAATATAATACATAGTTCAGTACATATTTTAGAGACTGAATTTGAGAAAACTCCCCTTAACTTAGATGATTATCAAATAACCCCTAAAACTTTCAAAATATCAAAAAAGAAAAAAAACCTTAAGTTAAGGGGTTGTCAGAAAACTCACTTTAACTTTTAAACTATTTCCAAGAAACTCCCCTAAAAACGTGAACTACAATATTTTCACTAGAAACAATATTCCTTTAGATAATTTTATCCATCCATGTGAAAATTGCACTTAACCCTGCTAGGGGGTTTTATAAAAAAAATCTTAAAGTTGAAGGGTTTTTTACAACCCTGATCTTAATTAATGTTTCTGATATTTTGAAAGTTAATGGGATTATCTACTTAAGGAGGGTTTTCTGAAATTCAACCTATTCTAAAACTAGTCATTATACTGTTATCTTAATCTTATCTTACAGATACTTTAAAAGATTGCATTGATATTTACTGAGTTTATATATATATTTGTATACCATCTGCAAAATGTACTTTCTCCTATATCATTTTCTATAGAGGCCTACGCGTAGGATTTCCGATTTCCTTTACACCTTTTAGAGAGACTGAGAGAGAGAGGAGGGATTCTTTCACGAGGGAATCACGAGCAGTTCTATCTTATAACAAAACTAATAAATAACAATCGCCACTTGTGATGGAAAAAACTATCGCCACTTGTGATGGAAAAAACTATTTAAAGGCCACAATTGGGCCGTTCATCTCTTATCACCCTCTCCTCTGTCTAATGGCTTCCCTTTCCTCTCTCTTGTATTCTTGTGCCTTGATTCTCCTCCTGAGTTTTATGACTTGTCCTTGTTCACAAGTTGACGGAGTTGGGGAAGCAAACCATCATGTTGTTAATGTTCAATCTTTGTTGCCTGAAGATGTCTGCAGTCCATCCAAAGGTGTGCTAATTCTTTTGTAAACCTGGTGTTTTAAATTTTACGTACTTACCAATTAGTAATCATGTTCTACTTAATGAGCAGTCCTTGTGTGTATTTAAAAACCATTTGTGATTACTAAAAGAAGAGGTGGTAGAAAATTAATCAAAGTTTAGCTATTGTTTGCTTTCATGAGACATTCCTTACTTTCACTTTTTAACTAAAAGGATTGAATATTTAGTACTTTTCATGCTGATTCTTGTATTTTCTTTATCTATGTTTTTTAGAAATAGGGAACCTTCTTTTTTTGTGGCGTAATAACTCTCTATATGATTCTCCAATGTGAGAATGCAAACTTAATTAGGCTAAACAATGCATGATACTTCTTCTAGTTCTGTGATTAGAATATGGTCGAAAGTATGAACTCTTGCAAATTAGGGAAAAGCTTCATATAATTCGGCTTGCCGATCGACTACAAAGGGACCTTATATTGGGGCAGACAGTGAAATTAATTCAAGTTCAAATTGTTTCTGTTTCAAGTGAAAAAGGAAATTGGACCACGTTTGGATCAAGTTTTGTCGAAGATCGATTAATCACACACAAACCTAAATAGACTTTTATATTGAGGCAGACAGTGAAATTTAATCCAAGTCCAAATTGTTTCTGTTTCAAGTAAAAAAGAAATTGGACTACCTTTGGATCTAGTTTTATTGAAGATGAATCATAGGCAAACCTAAATAGACTTTTACTGACTGTCCATAACGAATAGTAAGTATTTGAAACTTTGAATCCCCATGAATTTACAAAATTTCCTTGCTCAAAGGTCCACTGTAAATTGACAGGCAGAAACTTTCTTTCCTCGGCTTTATTCTTCATCCATTTGATGTGAATGCCTAATACTTACATCCCCATGATTATGATACGTCTTTTCAACATCCAAATATTTGAGACATCTTGGTCATTTTTCATTAATTTGCTTGTATACGTCTATTCTCCTCTTGCAGAAAGCTTGAAGGTGTAGATGCAAACTATAAACCTTGCCAAGTAAATGAAATATTCACATAATTAGACAATATATAATCTCAGCGGTACAAGGAACACATAACATCTAATAAAAAAAAGATTTATTTTTGCCACACAAGATCGATAGATACTGAAACCAATCACAGTGGATTAATACCGAAACCTATCATGGTAGACCAGGGGAAAATATACATCAAATCAAAAGCAGCTACAGGCAGATTTTGGCCCAAGCTCCACCAACCGAACATAGTCGAGTAGGTAGAAGACTCTGATGTGCCATGACCATGTGCCTTCAAGCCTATAAAACTTTAGTGAAATTTATCCCAAAAAAAAGGTAATTAATCAATTGACAAATTAAGCATATATAGTTCATTAAATAATTGATTATTAATCAGTACTTTATAACAGTTTGATGCCCAAAAGATTCAATTTCTTCTGTTCAATCGTCTGAGTCTACTCGGTTAGGAGTAAGTCGACATCGGAGAACAGTTTTACTTCGTACCCATTAAAATCACATTCATAAGAGAAAACATCAACAATAAGTGCATAATAATTCTCAAGCGTGCGTCTGTATGAAAACACAGTTGACTATATTCATCCATTATCCATAGATAGACATTCATTTGCCACAAGTTGTCCTGTGAACTTAGACGATGATGAATTGCCCTCTTTGATGAGACAAGGGGGGGAAAAGAGATGCATGGGGGGGAGAAGGTTGTCCAACGAACTCAATACACGCAACAAGGACTAGTGTTCTTCTGAACTCTTGCGCAAGTACTTTAATCCCTTCAAGCATTAGTAGTATTGCGTTAATCCAAATGATTAACAAGTTCTTTACTTACTTAATCCCACCCCAGCAGAATCCGACCCCTCAAAACTCCAAGTCGTCCACCGTCACGGCCCGTGCTCTCCCATGAAGCCCAGACACAAGCCCACCAACGAACAAATCCTCAACCGCGACCAAGCCCGGGTCGACTGGCTCCACCGCAAATCCTCCTCGTCTGCCGCCACCACCTTCGGCCACACGGGCGGAAACCATTCCCCTAGTAACCTCCGACATCCCGCGTCAAAGTGGCGGGTCCCTTGGTACGCCAACTACGTGATCACGTCGGCTTTGGCACCCGTCCGATCACCCAGTCTCCAGTCGTGTTCGGAACGCGGCAGCGACGACGGACCTGGATCCAATGCCAACCTTGCGTCCCGCCTGCCTACCAACAACAGGACCATCTCTTCGACCCCGCCAAATCGTCCACGTACCGCAACATATCGTGCACCTCTCCCTTCTGCTCCGCCCTCGACATCAGCAGCTGCTCCGCCTCCACGTGCCTCTACGCCGTCCAGTACGGAGACAATTCCTACACGGTCGGATTCTTCGCACAGGATACGCTAAAGCTATCTGATGCAGGTTTGATCTCTGACTTCCGTTTTGGGTGTGGTGAGAAGAACAACGGGCTCTACGGCCAGATCGCTGGGATCCTAGGCCTGGGTCGTCAGCCGGTTTCCGTAGTAATGCAGGCGGCGGACAAGTTCGGTGGAGTTTTCTCCTACTGCCTCCCGTCGAGAGCCAGCTCGACCGGATACCTAAAATTCGGAG